TATATATATGTGTGTGTGTGTGTGTGTGTGTGTGTGTGTGTGTGTGTGTGTGTGTGTGTGTATGTGTGTGTGTGTGAGTATGCTTTCAAACACACAATAGTTAGTGCCTGGGTAAGGAGGATATACATAGATGCGCGTGTATACGTTCCAATTCGCACTAGTAAGATTTGATAGCCTTGTACATACTAAACTGAACCCGTATTTGTGAACGCAGGAATGATCCCTTTTTCCAGACATATACTACATGGCACACTCGTGGACCATAGCACGCGTCCGAGGGTCAGATATGGGGAGTACGACGAAATTCCACCAGACACACTGTGGACACCAATATCGGATACACCAATTGTAGTGACATTAATATTATGTTACATGTAGGGATCAGTATAAGTATGCAATTCGGAGTACCGATGAAGAAATCACAGTCCAAATATTGAACAAATAGGATGATTTTCTTCCATATCTTTTGAATAGGACATATTTGAATAAATAGGACTTTTTTTTCTGTATCTTTTGTGATTCAATCTGGGTATGCAAACCTACCCGCTTCTTCATGCATGCGCTCCGGTGTCGTTCCATTTTCTTTCTCCGTCTTATTCTCTGACTCAGCCATTTTCTCAACTTTCGATGCAACAACATCAACTTCAGCAGCCAGATTTTCAGCTGGGAATCCAGATTTTTCGGGCTCGCTTTCCGATTTCTTGGGCTCGCTTTCCGATTTCTTGGGCTCACTTTCCGATTTCTTGGGCTCACTTTCCAATTTCTTGGGTACGCTTTCTGATATGGGCTCGCATTCCGAATTTTTGGGATCGCTTTCGGATATCTTGGGCTCGCTTTCCAATTTCTTGGGCTCATTTTCCGATTTCTTGGGTTTGCTTTCCAATATCTTGTGCTCGCTTTCTAATTTCTTGGGCTCGTTTACCGATTTTTTAAGCTCGCTTTCCGATTCTTCGGACTCGCTTTCCGATTCTTCAGACTCGCTTTCCGATTCTTCAGACGCGCTTTCCGGTTTTTTGAGCTCGCTTTCGGTTTTCTTCTCCTCCGGCTCAACGTTCGACGATGTTTGTACGTTTTTCTTCTTCTCGGGCTCCTTTTCGTAACCTATAGTATAAACAATACGTATCCGTTCAGATTACTTGTTGTGCAATTTGCCAAGACTCTTTCAAGTGCCAAAATAGTACCAACTCTGCAACGAAGTGTATAGAGTTATATAGCAAGTAGAGATTTTGCATATATCTAATGTGTAACTACGCTCTATGTGTCTATCGCAGGCACCTATGAACTACGACACTCTCACTACGTATGCATCCCCTCATACAACCTACATTCAGGGGTATAACAACCCTACATTCAGGAGTATAACAACAGTATGTAGATTTAGGGGAATTATAGAACCTACATTTAGGGTTACAATAATAGTATGTACCAATTTAAGAGTAATCTGGATTCATGGGGTAATCCGCTATTCATAGGGGCGCATACGTATATGTATAGTACTTGCTAAGAGGGGGTTGCATATATTCTCTATCGTAGTTATAGTTGACGGTTGCTATGCTACTGGGTTTTCCACTATCTGCAACATTATAATTATCACACACTTCGAGCAAGCTTTGCATATATGTCAATTCGATAAAAATGGTACAAGGAATACTGTACAATAATCTATTAACATACTGTACAATATTATATCAACATACTGTACAATATTATATTAAAATACTTTACAATATTATATTAACATAGTGTACAATATTATATTAACGCACTGTACAATATTACATTACCATACTGAACAATATTATAATACATACTGTACAATATTATATTAAAATACTTTACAATATTATATTAACATAGTGTACAATATTATATTAACGTACTGTACAATATTACATTCCCATACTGAACAATATTAAAATACATACTGTACAATATTATATTAACGTACTGTACAATATTATAATATCGTACTGTACAATATTATATTAACATACTATGCATTAACATATCAACGTACTGTATAATATTATATTAACATACTGTACAATATTATATAACACACAGGCCTTGACGATCTACCGTGGACGAAATAAGATACTAAAATATCAATTGCTTTAGGTGCGGACAAAGGACGAGTGAGCGCTCAAGGTGACTTTGGGGAATTGAGCAATCGAATATGATATAGAAATATTCTAGGTCCAACTTGTTCACAATTCAATGTATCTCCATTTAAATTCGAATTCGTCTTAGTTGTTGGAGACGCATCGTTATAGAGAGAGGCTATGCATGTACCAATCCACTGAACCTTAAAAAGCCTTGAACTTCAAAATCGTTAACAACACTCAATTTAAACGTATTCTGATCCTAGTCTATCCTATCCTCTCATGCTTCAAACCGACCCAAAAAAAAGAACCCAATTTTTAAATTCAGGTTGACTCTATGCTCACATTGAACTCGTCATACGCCCCAATGCAGGAGCATGCCACTAAAACTACACTTTACACCACTAACATTGAACTCGTCACACACCCCAATGCAGGAGCATGCGACTAAAAATACACTTCCCACCACTGACCTTTAAATGCATACAGATCCTGGTCAACCTTATCCACCCAATCTTGCACGAACGGGCCCAGAGCAGATATGGCGTCGATATGAAAGCGTGCATCCTGGATCACAGATGTCAGGATGGTCCCCTGAATATGTATAGCACAAAACCCGACCATTAGAAAGCGCTTGGCTTCAGCACTCGCAGACAGAAATTTATGACTGTGAGACAAGCGGGGATTCAGATATAGTCCACAGAAACTTGCACACATCCGCATACGAAAGATCTGATTGTGCATGTGAGTATGTCCGTGACAACGGCTTATAAAGCCGAATTATGCCCCCGTAAGCATGTGCATACAACACTGAATGCGTATATATACATATAACTATATCTCTATATACATACGTATAACTATATATCTGTATATGTATATGTATGTATATCTGTATATCTGCATATACATTTGTATGTATACCTGTATATCTGTATATGTATATGTATGTATATCTGTATATCTGCATCGGTATATGTATGTAGCGTATGTATCTCTCGCGTATGTATCTCTATCTGCATTGTACTCTGATGGCATATGCATCGCAGCCAAAAAAAGGTATCTGAACACATGTGAATACAATACAGATAGTCGACCGTACATTTATACCACGCCGACGTCTGTTACGTAGCTGTCTGCGCACTTACGGCAATACTACATAT